CACCTCAGCCTCACAAAGGCGCGGGATTACAGGCTGAGCCACCGAGCCCGGCTCATTTTTCTATATGATTTCTTATAAAATCCTCCCACTATATAGGAACCATATGATTTGGTTCATGTGATTTTCCAGAAACAACAGCAGCTAGCACTTTGGGTGCTTACCGTGTATGGGATTTTTTCTAAATTCATTTTATGTGTAAAACTAATTTTCAGGCCAGACACTGGCTCACACCTGTAATCCCAGCATTTTGGGAGGCTGAGGTGAGAGGATTACCTGAGCCCAGGGGTTCAAGACCAGCCTGGGCAACATGGCAAGACTCTACAATAAATAACAAAATTAGCTGGGTGTGTTGGCATGAACCTGTAGTCCCAGCTACTTGGAAGGCTAAGGTGGAAGGATTGCCTGAACCCAGCAGGTGGAGGCTGTGATAGCTATGATTGTGTCATTGTACTCCAGCCTGGGTGACAGTGTGAGACTCTGATTCAAAAAAATTACAATAAACTAATTTTCAAGACAATCCCAGGTACTCGTGAATTTCTTTAACAAGATAAAGACATTGAAGAACAGGGATTAAGTAACCTGTATAAGGTCACACAGCTAATAAGATGGCAGCATTGGGATTTGAACCAAGACAGTATGGCTCCAGAGTTCCTTCTCTTCATGGATTTGCTGCTACCAAATGTTATCAAACTGTGCTTTTCTGGAGTTGGCACTGTATTTTTTTTTTTTTTTAATCTAAAAGCCTCAGTTGTAGGTTCTTGAATTTGGGGCCATAAGGGTGGCTTGAGTTTGAGAGACAAGGCTAAGGGCAGGTACCAAACCCAGCCAGAAACCTGAGCATGACTGTGTAGGAGGCTCACTCTGCACTAGTGGCCTGGCACTGATGTATTTGTTCATCATACGATCAGGTAATAACAAGCGGAAATATTTTGACCTAAAAATAGCTTCTGGCTGGGCATGGTGTCGCACACCTGTCATCCCAGCACTTTTGGAGGTCAAGGCAGGAGAATCACTCGAGTCCAAGAGTTCGAGACCAGCCTGGGCAACATAGTGAGACCTTGTCTCTACAAAAAAAAAAATGAACAAGACCTGGTGGCGTGTGCCTGTAGTCCCAGCTAGTTTGGGAGGCTGAGGTGAAAGGATTGCATGAGCCCAGGAGGTCTAGGCTGTGGTGAGCCCGGATGGCACCATTGCACTCCAGCTTGCATGACAGAGCAAGACCCTGTCTCAAAATAATAAAAAATCAAAATAAAATGGTCTTGTTTCCATCCCTACAAAACACTCTGGCCCACTAGCATATTAATCAAAAGGAAAAAAAAATGCCAGCTCCAAATCAGCTGATTGGGTGGTGGGGATTGATTGGTCAAGTTCACAGAACAATCAACTCCTACATGCCACTTGGCATGATATTTATTCCATGCTTGCTATATGCCAGGCATAATGCTAAACCCCTTTACCAAATATATACTTGTTTAATCCACACATTACTTCATATACTTGTTATATGAACTAATAGATATTATCATTTTTTTTTTTTTTGAGTCGGAGTCTCACTCTTGCCCAGGCTGGAGTGCAGTGGCACACTCATGGCCACCACAGCCTCGACCTGCTGGGTTCAGGTGATCCTTCCACCACAGCCTTCCAAGTAGCTGGAACTACAGGCATGTGCCACCACGCCAGACTAGTTTTTCTTTTTTTTTTTT